TAAAGCCAGATCTGCCCTCACCCATGGCCCAAGGCCAAGTACAGCCCAACTGGCCTGGAGAATGTAGGCCAGTGGCAGGAGCCATTCACTGAAGACTTGAAAGAACAGTTGCCCGTGCAGCTTCCCTCACTTCATTTGCTTCCCTGTACATGGCTAACAGCTTGCAAACTGGCAGCAACCCAGCAAGCAGAGGGGAAGACAGGATTCCTGCTAGACACACACATTCGCCCTCACACGTGCTCACTTTTACAAACCATAATGTTGCAGTTCCTTAATTCTCATCTCTCCAAACCCAGCTCAGCTACAAAGCAAGCATTTTGTCCTATTAGAAGGAGAACTCCTAGTCCTGCAAAATCACAGGTTGTCTGGCAGTATGAAAAAGAGCATGGCTGCAGGCTCTATGCATGGTGCACACTTGTGCCTTTGGTCTCTGGCTTTCAGGGAGCAACTGTTGTGCAGTCACAAAAATGCAAAGAAATAGAGGGAAGAAATCAAATATTTACAGGAAGAAAAGTGATTCTACACCTCATGGTACAAATTTAGGGATGCATTGTAGCTACATTATGTGCACATAGCTACTGAAACAGTTTCCAACAGAATGTTTACACAGTTGTCTGGAAACATATTGTTTGCCTACTTTCAAAGCCAATTTATATGCAGCACACATAGCAGCACGCATGAAAATTCAGACAAAAACACAGATGCATGCAAAAATCCCTGGCCAGCTCTTGCTGCTCTTTATTGTTTGCTGCTCGGAAGTACCTAGGAGAGAGGAGGAAGGTAGCAGCCCGTTGTGCTAGGCGCTGTACTACCCCAAACTAAAAGACAGGTATTTCCCTTGAGGAAGATATAATCTCCATTTAAGACAAGATACAACAAGTGAATGTAAGAGTGAGGGAGTGACATACGGGAATGAATAATAAGAGAGTTTATATGTGCCAGCTTTATGCTGTCATGTGCCAGCTACTTGAATACATGATGCAAATAAATACCAGTCTCCTACTGAAGGCAACAAGTTAGCTGTAATCAGCTGGAAATTTATCAGGAGCTTCATAGATAAATTCATGAGAAATTTGGAGGAGCCCGGGGAAGATGATAGATCTGTTTGGAGAGGGCATCCCAAAGAAAAGTGTCAGTGTGGGATAAAGGGAATGGTGTGTGACAAGGGAACAGGAGGATGAAGGAGGTTGACATCACTTAGGCAGCAAAGAAGGGAGGCTCAGGTAACACAGTTGCTGAGAGGGAAGGATGTGCAAGTCCTGGACCAAAGAATAAAGAGCTTGTATCCAACTTGTTAGAGAGGGTGGGACCAAGAGGACTACAAAAGGTAAAGAGGGTGAATTTGTCACTGCACTTGGAATAGAACAGGGAGAAATTATGCCAGTGGGTGTCAGGAAAGTCCGGGTGAAGACAGTCAGAGTGAAACTTATGTCACTGCAGACAAAAGCCACGTCAAGAAATGGTGTAGGAGCCACCAAACCAGAACATCCCATGCTGAGAAGTATGGGAATGAGGTCTTCTCCATGTCCAAGGAGGAAGGAAAGGAGGAATCACCCCCCAAACAAAGCAGAGGTAACACCAGCTACAGGAGAGGGGCCAACAGAGGGAAAATCCTGCCCAAGGTCGTGTGCTGTGGCCAGGTCAAGAACATGCTTTAATTTTAACAGCCAGCTCTACTGAGCTACTTTCATCCAAGGTCTGAAAGGACAAGTCTGAGGGAAAAATTGAAAAGATGTAACACTTTTTTTCTTGAAGTGCTCCTTTGCAGAAGATCCCTCTCTCCCCACGTGCAATCATTGCACAGATGAGAGCCAAGTCTCCTGCCTCAGGTTCCTCGAGTTAGGCAGTGTGAAAACCACTCATCAACAAAATTGCATCGAAGTCCCTCTACTGCAGTTCCCTGTGTCACCACGCAGACAGATGTCCTGTCCTCTGGGCTCTGTGGCAGGTACTATTTATATTCAATATTGTTTATATACCCCAAAACCTCCACAGGGAGATGCCAAATCAATAAGCCAAGAGCTGAAATATAGTCATTTTGTGCTTTATTTTTCTGTTTTTAAAAGGACAACGGTATTTCTACAACTCTACAAAGCCACTTAAACATTAACAAAACACTGCCAGCTGCCAGGGCCCCTGGGGAACTTACGTGCCTCCCTTCCCACTGTGACCACTCCCCTGGGGCTCCCCCTCACCCTGCCTGGGACCCCACATCAGCCCCCAGGGCCACCAGCCCCTGTCCCAGTGATGCCACAGCAGGGCTGGTCTCCAGCTCCCCACAGCCCTGCCCTGCCCGTCCACGGGCCCCTGTCCCAGCCCAGCCTCGGCCAGTCCTCATCCCCAGGGAGGTGCCCGATGCCCGGGGCTGCCCCAGTGCCCCCCAGCTGCCTGCTCCTGGCTGGGGTGGTGGGATGGGACCTGGCTGCCAGACCCTGTCCTGATGGACCCCAGGGGAGCCCTCACTGCACCCTGGCACCAGCTGCCTGAGAAACATTAGCACAGGACAAAAAATCAAAGGACAAGCTCAGCCTTGCTAGGACCAAAACAACCTGACCCAGCCGCATCACACAAGATATTTTAAGGTTTTATAAGTTCAGGGGTGTTTCTGTTTTCCTTCTGGTACTGAGCCACCAAGGTCTAACCTGACTGTGTTTTACCTTCTCTGCAACAACATTGTGTGGTCCTCTGAAGAGGTGGCGACTGCCACTATCTTCCCATCTCTGGGATGAGGTCCTGTTGGAGCCCAGTGCCAGGTTATACAGGGTCTGGGCCACACTGCAACTGATCATGGTGGGAAGCCACAGCATCCCCACCTCCACTACGGAAGCCTCCAGTCCAGGCCGACCGCTGTTTCCAAAGGAGAGAAGCCTAGACCACAAGGACCTGTCCCCAGGAAGAACTTGAGGATCCATCAGTTCACCAGAATCCGTCATAGACATGCTAACATCATCTCCCTCCCTAAATGGTGCTGAGCTGAGGAGCCTCAAGGCCCATGCTGGTAACATTTGTTGATAATAAGTAGAGAGCTGCTCACCTTCCGTGACACGCATACAGATGCAGAGGAAAAAAAATATTTTTTGCAGTATTTTCTTCTTCCTTCCTCAGCCAAATCCTTACTTGGGCCCTCACGGATTATTCACACAGCAGCCCTACCTGTGCTGACTGATCAGATTACTGCACCAGTGCCTCCATGGCTTTCAAATTTATTTCACAGGTTTCCAAGAAACAGATGCTGATACCTGATAAGTGGCGGCACCTGGCTTAAAAACATGTCATCAGTTCATCAGCCTATGATGTCTTGAGTAACATCTCAGCTCGGTGGAGAAACGTTACCCTAACCAGCTAACATATTTCTGTGTGGGGAAATAAAGCTCCTCTTATGTACTTGTTGACATACTGATTCGCACCTTTGCGTTGTTCCCAGCACTGTTTAAGCACACGGAGCCCAAGTGAATGCAATGATCCTGTTTCAAACATTTGGTGCCCTGGCTTTCCGTAGCATCTCAGAAGTTATCTACTTGTTACAAGCAGCTTTATCTGGCTCTATAGCACAGTTGAGATTCTTTGAAATATTTTTTTTATTGAAACAAAAGCAATCATTTGCATATGTATTGATTTTGACTATCAGAGGACACAGACACAATAGCATAGGTAACAAGAAAATTAACCACATGAACTGCTTACTTTGTCATTGCAAAACTCTGAATTTCAGTATTTCAGACTCTTTCTGACATGATGAAGGTAAGACACTGTTACAGTGCACACACTGAGAAACCATTATGCAATACCTATTAAAAAAAACCACATCATATATCCAACTAGTTTGACCAGACTTATGTTTTCCACAAGACCTCTTACCTTGCTGTAAGACAGAAATACCCAGGGAACAAATTGCCTACACTAACAAGGCTCTCAGGAATCTAATTACAGAATGGCAAAAATGTTGAATGGAGGCACATTAAATAACACGTCTGTCATTCTATGGCAATTCATGATATATACCTAGGAGCCACTTGTGGCCGATAAAGTCAATGAGAGGATTTGCATCAGATGAACAAGAGCATGACAGAAAGGAAAACTGTTTCTTGCACAGTACTGCCAGGAAAACGGAGCAATGGTGACAATAAAACTTGGCTAGATTGCAGTAAGACCATTCATAAGGCCGGGTTTAGGCACACGGAATTGCTAAGGGCAGCAGAGTGGGACAGAGGAAAAGTTGGCGAAAGCTCTGCTGGTGGTTTTGCCACCACAGTCACTCCAAGAAGCCAGCCTCATGCTGTGGCAGCTTGGGAGAGGGCTGCACTGCTAGAAGGCAGCTATAGGTGGGGGCCCAGGGGTGGCTGTCCCACTGCGTCAGTGATGATGGAGGCAGTGAGCTTCATCTCTGCCCCAATGCCTTCTCTTCCCTCCCTGTGGTAGAACTTCAAACAGCAAAGTGCTTTTCTACCCTGTCGCCTGAAGCCTTGAACTACTGCTTCCACCTAACAAATGGCTTGCAGTCTTCCGACCAAGCCTACTTCCTATACTATTTTAATTCTTCAATTAATTTCTCTGAGGCCTCAATTCACTCTGATGAAGATCAGTGGAAATTCATTCTCAGTTGCTGGGTGCCTTGCCCATGTTACACTGACAAATGTACATCAGTGGATAATTAGCTTCTCGGTCAGTAGATAGGCTGTGCCCATCAATTTCTGTGAATAAAATGCACTAAATCTATGCAGCAAGTCTACCCTTTGGGGCAGGACAATTGTAAAGCACTGAGCACCAATAAACACCAATCCAAACCTAAAGAACCCAGTATTGCCAAACACTGCTGCCAGCAATACTACTGACTAGAGTGGGCAATTCCTTTGAAGAGTATAAGTAATATATATAACCCCCACAGATACAGTATGTCAGACCAGATGAACTCTAAACTGGCAATAGCATTGTCTAAAGCTGTATCAGATCTCTTGTTTTAGTTGCTGCCAGTTTTATCACGTGCTTATATCACTGAGATATTAAGGCTGAAAGGTCACAACATATGTTAGAAGGTAACCATCATTGTAAACATACAGTCTCTGATCTGTGGGGCTATAATTAATACTCTGGATTGTATCTAACTTTTTATCCATAATTACACTAACACGACCTTCTTGGCCAGTACTCGTGTCATACATGTAGAAGATTTCCTCTTTTCTAGTGTTCATTGGCCTTGTGGCATACAGAACACCACATAACATGAAAGCATTGGAAACAGATGGCTTGTACTGTCTTGTCTGCCAAGTATTTAGCACATCAAGTGTGGTCTCATTGAGTTTGCTAATCACAATGTTGCCCATGCTATTTTCTGTTGAATATATTACCCATAACCCACTTTCATCCACGGCAAAATCTATGTCTTGCCATGATACACCTGCATAAGAGAAACGGTTGCCAGTAACAGCACCTGGAAGCTCCTTCCTCAAAACCACAGTGTTTGTTTTTAAATCATGTTTCACCATATTTCTTGAACTATAAGCATGATAATACAAATAATTATTATAAAGGGCAGCACCACTTCCTTCCCCATATGTTATTCTACTTTCATACATGGGTTTAAACAGCAGCAAATTGTCAAAGGAACTATAAATTCTGTAGTATTCCAAGTATCTCCCATCTGTGTTCAATGGTGCAACCCAATAGACTTCCTTCTCTGGATTAGAGGGAGAGTAATCTCTACCCCAGGAACCATATTTGTAGGAAAATCCTTTCCAGTTCAGCTTTACAATATAGGGCTGGCTGACATTCAGCAATCCACGGTGAATGCAGCTACCTGAAATTAAAGAGAAAAAACCAGGTTTTTCAAATATCATTAGGAGAGAGGTTTTACACGCTATAGCCTCTAGAGTATGCTTACTAGGGATTAGCCTTGTGGCAAAACACAGACATAAATGCATATCTTCATGTGTAAGAGGATCATTTTGGGTCAAGGTCAGCAACAGGATGTCACTAAGTGTTCCAAGTTGACTCATAAAGTTAGTTAAAAAAAAAAAAGAGTACATATTATTACAGTTATGAAGGGGGTGGGGGTGGAGAAAAGATAGGGACATCCATCCTCAGTCAGGATTAATTAGCAGAAAATAAGTGCTCACTGCGGTGTTCAGACAAGGGACAGATTTCTCTTTCTACCCATTTGATGTACGCCAGCCTGATGCACTAAGAAATCCCTTGGAAAATACAATTTCAGAAGCATTTTAGGTTATTTTCTACCTCAGTGGAACTGAGAGCATGGGAGATGGGGAAAAAAGAAAGAGTAACATCTCATTTCTGTGTATTTCACCGAGGAAGGGAAGGAAGAAGCAGCAGCAGCAGTAATTCCGGAGTCACATTTCAGATTAGCATTCTGCTGTCAGAATCACAGCTTTACAACAGCGTGTTACAGCTGCATGGTGCCTTCCACCTCAGGCCCTCAAAGAAATCTGCAGTTAGTAACATTCACAGCCTAGGAAACGTAGACAGATATTACTCTGAGTTTTCATGTGAGGCAACTCTAAAGAGAATATGACTTCAAGATGAACCAGAACAGCTCTGTTTTCCATATATCAACTATGAAGCCATATTCAGGATCATGGGAAAATGGATTTACATACAAGAAATACTTTCCTTTTATTCATGGTGAATGGTGTGTGACATTCCTGTTTCCTGATAAATTCTCAATATTGTAAGTCACTGGTGGAAAAAATCTTCCACTCAAAAATGTCTGTGGGCCGCTGATGAGTCCGAGGCTGCCACTAGCAAAAAACAGCATGCTTTTTTCCAAGTGTTAACATTAGATTTTTGTATTACTGTCACAAAAGCATCCCAGATTTTTCATTGTAAGGATATGTTCACCTGAGGTAATGGAAACAGAGATGGCAAGTAACTGGCACCAGCTCACAAGCTGAGTGGTACTCCAATGTTTCCCAATTCAATGGGGTGCTCTAGGCACTAGACAAGCTTCCTTATTAAAGACAAATTATAATATGAGCAGACCCAAGTCTCACATGTCAATTAATGGATAAATTAATGGCCACAACTGTTTGATGTTAATGACACTTCTCTCAGCACAGGAACTCTGTGCACCACCAGCTATCGCATCAACGATGAAAGTCAAACTTATCTTTTGAGGTTTTAATACTTTGCTTGGGTACTATGTCACAATTGCTTACAGCCTGTATGAAATGAATGGCTGTTCATAAGCTCAGTCATATGAAGAGATGTGTAGCACATAAATAACCTATGTCTTAACACAAAGAAGAAAGAGAAATAACAGAGAGAATTTACCTTTTGCCCTCAAAGCTGGCCATTCCTAAGCAAGACCAGACAATACTTTCAAAGATGAACTGAAAACTCCTAAACCCGCTGACAGAAAAAGCCTATGAGGCATCTTGTTCTCAAAGACATCCTAGTCTCTCCCACAGATAGAGGGAAATGCAGAGACAGACCAATCTGATGTACTCTGCTTGGAAAAAGACTGGGAAACAAGATATTTGGTGAAAAAATGGACTGTTGCAGAGAAATCTTTTCCTGATCAACTTTGCCCGAGGGGAAGGTGCTCTGCCTCTGGGACAAGGAAACCTACGGCCTGAGTGTTAAAAATGTCCAAGCAAGAGGGTAACATTTGTGCCAATGTGTAAAGACTGTTTGGGCAGTGAATATCTCCATATCTTCACCTTTCTCAAAATGTAGCATTTCTCTCCACTACGTGACACCTTCACCCCTCACAGTTTTGTGCTGTCTTGCACTAGTGACTTGGGGAACATGTGATTCACCTGCAGCCTCCTCTCAACATCTGTGAAGAAGGTGAGGAGCAGCTTTATGTTAAATATAAATCACTATGTTGAGTTAAATCCCTGTGTCCCCAGGCCATGCTGGAAACTTCCTTGGGGTCAGTATTGCCCATGGGAGCAGCTCTGCACCACTGAGTGCCCAGCTCGTGGCAGAGAGGGTGACACAAGTTGTGAAGAACCCCATCTCCTCGCCCAGCCACTTTTTTGTCCTGAGATCCTTGCAACTGAAACTTGGGATGACCCTGGCTGAACGTTGCTTTTCTCCGTGCCACCAAGAATCTACGCGAATCAGCATTCCTAGCTCGGAGCAGATGAGCATTTAAGCATGCACTTAAGTGCTTTACAAAGGACAAGGCCCTGGAGCAGAAACCTCATTTCCAAATATAGCACACAAGGAAGGCACTGCTACATGGCTAGCCAGACTGTATCTCTGGAAATGACACGTAGCATGGCTAGTAACATGGCCTCAGCACTTGGCAGCAATACCAATGTTTGAAGGTGCTTATACCTCAGCTCTTGCAGAGGAAGAAAGCTAAGGCAGACAGTGCAAAATGGCTTGCAGCCTGCCAACTCCGTAAATCAATTTGAGCTGTTTTTTTCTTATATCTCTATTATGTATTGTTACCTCCGGCATGAGGGCTTCTTTAAGCTGGTGACATATTGAATATATTACTGTGCTTAAATCACAATAAACTTATCTCAGAATTAAATGGTTATTAAATGCTCTAAAACTCTTGATTTGTTTAGAAAAATATAGCACCGAAGCTTGCAGGTAGTGAGGCACTGCTAAGCTCATCTATATGCGACCTCAAATAATTTTTCATGTCATTAAGCAAAACACAATTCCAGATTTATTTTAATAATTCATGCATTGTTTCATAAATAAAAAACAAACGTGTGTTCAGCAGAGAGACCTTTTTTTACAAAAGAAATAATAAATTATTATTTCTTCCCTTAAAGAGATCTCTCTGCTGAACACTTGTTTGGTTTTTATTTATGAAACAATGAATTATTAAAATAAAGTTAGAAGCGTGTTCCGTTTTAATGACATCAAAAATTGTCTGAGGTTTCTATAGAGTATGTGCTTGATTTTGATTTCCTTGAAAACTCTCCCAGAATTATTATTTTTTTTACCAAAAGACTCTGGTAGTCAGGGGGTGATCTGTCTTCTGCACAGGTTCAGAAGAATTCATTGTTGTTTATTTAATATAAACTTGCCTCCTTGTCTGGATCTTGTGGGAAAAAAAATGCACAAAGGAAACAAAGTGTCATGTAATTTTGTAAATATTAGAAGGTACTTGAAATAAATCCATATGCATTATTCAAACTTTCAAGTTTTTAACTTCTTTCTCCACTGTTTTGTGCCACTGATAAATGAAGTCCTGGTATTTTTGCCTTCCTTTGTTTCATGCTTATGTAGCAAATAGGTGAGAGGAGGACTAACATAGGTACATACACACATACTTCTCCTTTTCCCTACATAAAGAACCAGTATCTCAGCTCAGTTTACTAATCCCGATTCATCAGAAAAGGAGCTGTCACTTAGTTGTCAGGACCAGAGCCTGACTTATTTGGCTAAAGGGCTGCAGAACTGTGGGTGAGACGCATCCCGCTGGGTCTCGCTTCACCCATTTCACCCTGAAGCACTCGCAGAGCTTCTCACTCCAACAACACAGGTGACAAAAAATCTCCAGCAGCCTCCCACCCCCTCCAACAAAGCAGCTGCATCTGACCGCAGAATAGAAGGGACCACAGTTCGCCCATGCAGTCAAAATTCACAACACGAGTGCGGACCCACATTTAAAGGCAGTCCCATGAGGGGCACGGAGACCAGGAGCAGGCTGGTGCTGCGCTCCCACGTGCTCCCAACCACCAGATGCTCACCTTCCTCTCCCATCAGACAAACCACTGCATCCAGATATGTGAGCTGTTTCCAGCCTTACTATAGCTTGAGACACAGGAGACAGAGCTGCTCAGGGAAAGGCTCACCCTGTCTCCTACTGTCTCACTGACGCAGGAAGACCCACCTCAGTCTTCACCAGTATCACAGGGCACAGCCACAGGTTGACAGATGCATCAGAGAGGACTTATATTCTCCACATCAAACAGTGGATGACTTGGAGAGATGGAGTTCATCTGACCTACCTTCTGGCAACTAAAAATTCAGGCGCCTTGGCTAAGTTCCCACCAGCACCAGTGGTCTCCAGAGGCAGTTCAGGTAGTCCTGGAGAGGGGCCACTGGCCAGCTCTTCTCAGGTGCCTCTAGGCATGCCTCTCTCTTTGTGTATGGACATACTCATTTCAAAACACAAGCCAGAACACAGATGTCCACAGACAGCTTGGGTACATAGGAGGTAAAATATAAGGTAAAAGTGAAATCAATATAAGACTCCAATAGGATTGCCTAAGTTTCAGCATTAGCTTACACCAAGTCTTCTTGCTGCTGAGATCTATTCACCAGTAACTTGAAATACTTAATTTCTAAATTTATAAAAGCCAGAAAAAAAAAAAAAAATCTTTCTTCTTTTTTTTCCTTTCTTTATTTTTGCCTTTGAGAGTTTCATCTGACTCACTTCTCCCTGCTGCCCCTCTCAGATCATTTCAGTGAGATGTGACACAGAATCTGCTGCAGAGTCCTCAAAGAACCGTCCTGGGGTCTTTTCTCTATATACCTGCCCTGATGCAGCCAGATGAGAACAGCGCAAAAGAAAAACAAATGGATGAATATTTCTTCCCACTGGAGTGGTGAGAAAAGAGGTGCCAGGAACTGCTACAGATAGGAAAGTTAGTGATGATGATGAGGCTGATTAACTATATTTACTGATCCCCATCTCAGACACTCAGACACCCACCTCTCCAGTTGGAGGGTAAGGCAAATAGAGACCTCTGATTTCTTTCTGCTGTGTTGTCTGAGAACATGCCTGCTCACTCTGAGAAATACAGCAGCAAAAGCCTTGGGGGACAGTGAGAGGGGCTACGTACTACAGCACTGAGAAACAAGAAGCTTTAATTAAACTTGTCTTTAGACTCATGGTCTTAGACAGCTTGGGGATTAGCCAAGATCTCTCTAGTTCATGTTGCCTACCCAAAATATGCAAGAGAGAGGATGTGGGGGGAAAGAAAATGCAGTCTGAAAACAGGACAAAGAGTCAGTTTAATACAAACATTATAAATATAATATGAACTAAAAGCAGGGCAAGGCCAAATGGTTTGGCAGGAATTCAAGGCATTCAAGCTTGTAGAGAAAACGTATGGAAATGGTGCTCAAATGTGTAAATGAGTGCTAGAGAGCTTCAGAGGCCTAGGTGTGAGCATCCATGCAAAGCCTCCAAAATGACCAACTAGAAAATACAGCTCTCACATACTTACTCCATATCCCCAAGCAATAACTTCTTCCTACCACTACTTGTTTTCAGATACAGTCTGCAGGACATGTAATTGCTCTACAAAGTTCTCTGCCCAGAGAATATTTGCGACCCACCAGGCACACACAGTCAGGATATGTCACTATGCCAGTCCTGCGTGGATTAGCAGGCATCTGAGCCCTGGGCTCTCTGTATAGCTGGCATCTCCCAACAGGCAGCAAACTGGCCAGCTCTCCACAGCTGCTCTGCCATTCCTTCGTGCCAGCCTCAGGGACCACCCTCACCAGGAAGGTGACCATGACAGTACAGCCATACACGTCCTCCAACCCCTCTGAATTCCTATTGCTGTGGACAGGAGATAAACTCACAGATAACACCAACAGTTGTCCTCAGCTGATGTCAGTGGTGGTAATTCTCTGGAAGTCAATGGAGCTATCACTGTTCATAACACCTTGGGGTTTGGCCTTCTAGGTTATTTTCTGCTCTGTGGTTTCCATACGGTTCAGTGACAGGCAAAGGTGCCTGAGCTAGCCAGCACACGAGTCAGGAATAAGGCAATGCTAAAACAATACCATTTTGGTCCTGGATAAACTCTATCCATCTCCCTATTGTGCCCTAACAAGCAATGTTAAATAATTCTATTACAGTCACAGTGCTATGCAGTTGCAGTTACCTGTCCCAGAACTATCATCCTACTCTAGGCATGACTTACCTGTCACTGCGCGGAGCTGCACTATAAAACATAGACCTCCCTTTCCCACTCTTTGAAATCTCCTACATCCCACAGATGCTCTCACCATCCACCCAGGTGTAAAAGCAGCCTCCTCCTCCATCGCTCATGGAAGGACACAAAATTCTTGTTCCAGAGCTCAGTACTTTCTCACCGAAATAAAGGCTTGCTGTAGGCTTGAAGAGAAAGAAACTGTTTCTTTCCACACACCATCACCCTCAATAAATCAATGAGATGGTCTTCAAATACTTCTAAAAACTTGATTGGGTTTTGGGTTTTTTTTTTCATTGAAACATTTAAAGCCCTTCCTTAAGGAGCAGAGAAGGGCCTTGAGAATTTCCAGTGCAGGTTTTTGTTTTGGTTTTCTCTCCTGCCTGATCCCCAGACAAGGTGTTACTCGTGCATCCTGTCAGAGAAGTGCAGCAGCTGCCTACACTGCCATGAAGCCCTAAGGGATTGCAATAGGAAAGGCTGCTGACCCTAAGGGAAGCTTGTACTTCTGCTTCTCACCTTTCCAAAGAGATGTTTGAACTAGCTGACCTTAAAATGATGACAGGAAAATGCTGGTAGGTGCAAATCTGTGGTTCTTGCAAGCAGGACATCATTCCTCCTTTTTTATGGGCTCCTCTAGAAGATTGCTAACCAGTTTATGTGAAAAAGCAGGATCCTTCCCCTGGGTATTGTATAGAACAGAGCACTTTCTCTCTTACAATACTCTGTCAAAAGGAACCCCCTGTGTGCAAAACACTCAGGGGATCAACAGCTGGATAAATCCGCCTGTCTGTTAGCAAGTGGGATGCTTGACCTAGCATACCTAAATTAATGTTTCCTAAAGGGTTTTCTCCAGTGTATCATAGCTAACTCTTAAAATTTCTGACTATGATTCACACACAGTATGATTTTTCAAACTGAACACAATGTCAAGACAAAAATTATTCTATCTGTAAACTAATTACCACATGCCCTGTGACTGTTGATACTTTTATCTGAACTGCATTCTGGGAACCACTGATCTAAGCCCCAGAAGACAACCTTTCCAAGTTAAGAAAATAATAAAAATCCTGGTTCCACTGAAATCAGTAATAAAGCTCCCGCTTATTTCCCTGAGACCAGAATTTCCCCCCAAGGTTCTTGACCTTCTGATTTAGAAGAATCTTTTGCCTGTGAAGCAAAAGTAATCTTCATGCAAAGCTACCTTCCGGAGCTTGCATACCAACAGCTTTAGTACATCAACTGTTGCTCATACATTTCCCGAGCAGCATTAGAGTAAAATTGCCATGACACAGGTCACTTTCACAGGAACTATTAAAAATCAAAGCTGGTCAGAAAAAAAAAGCATAGTTTCCCACAAGAAAAGGTAATTGTTTTGAAAAAGAGATGGGGGAGAGAGATTTGTTTTTCATACTGCAGGTGAGGGGAAGATTACAACTCTTTCCAGTTGAAAACAGCTACTGTGTCTGGAAGAGTTTGTTTCCTGCCCTCGTTTTCCTTTTGAACTCGTTGATGAAACATTAGGATCTGTCTGCTCAATTTTTCAAAAGCTAAGTAGTATCATTACAATTGTATTTAATATTAACAGAGGGAAATCTCTTCATTTACCATTCTACCCATGTATTAGGTTGTTTCCTATATGATATACAACAGAAATGCTTACCGGGTGGGAAATAAGGGGGTACTGTAGTTTTGTTTCTGCTGTCTTCACACTCTTTCAATCGATTCTGCAGAGACACAATTTGTCGACGAATTGCAAGGATATTGGTTTTGTCCAGTGATTCTAGTTCATTTACCAGTATAGTCAGATTTGTGATCTAAAGGAAAAAAAAAAAAAAAAAAGTTTAAATTTCTGTCAACTTTATTTTACAGATATTTGCAGGCAGGGTTTATCATATCATAGAAGATGCTACAGAACAAGCTTTAAGAAATATCCCTAAGAATAGGCCTTATCCTGCTAGCCTGAATTTCGCTTTTCAAGCAGAGGTCTGTGACCATAAGTAAATGCTTTCACACTTAGTTCTATAACATAATGTAAAAATATAGTGTAATTTTGTATGTAGTATAAAAATATCCAGTAAGTCTTAAGCAAGTACTAGCTATTATATACAAAAAGTACTTATTCCTGTCTTGCAAAAGCATCTGGAAAATTTATTTGCAAAGATTAATAATGTACTCAATCACCTACTTGATGATATAGAAGACAATGGAGAAAATGATATTTCACTTTCCATCTGAAGTAATTATTCTCTCTAGGTGAGTGATTAACTACAGTTTTGAAAATGTGATTTATAGTTTGCTGGGAAGGTGATAGTCTTTCCCATTTCTTGATTTCATATTGATTGGGCCACTGCCTTAGCAACCAGAAGGTAATTTTTTAATTATCTAAGTTAAAGCACAGAGGCTTTCAAGCATGGGGGCCTATAAATTAATATTTATTATAATAATTTAATCAGCTTATGTGCTTATCACTATGCAGAACTTTTAACTTTCAGGCAGATATTTCGCAAAAATAAAGTAGTCTCCATTTGTTTTGGGGTTTCTTTGTTTTTCTATGCTCTATATCAAGCAAAAAAAGATGTTAATACATTTAAGGTCAAGCTTTCTTTTAAATTATGCTGATGAAATGCAAAAGTAATTCCACAGGTTGCAGTAGAGACAGGCTTCATTTCCTCAACCTAAACACTAAAGAGAGAATAGTCTATCTGTATATTTGAACCCTCTGTAACTAATTAAGACATTGTCAATACCTCCAAATATATTTGTTCAACGATGACATTGCTTCCAACAAGGCTGGATTTCAGCTGTGTGACCAGTCTCTCTAGGTCACTGATTTCCACTTTCAGTAACTGGAAGTCCAGTTCTGTGTAAGATACACTGTTCTTCTCCATATGCTCCACTCTGATGGTTAGATTAAGGATTTGCTGCTGATACAGTTCAATCATTTTTGAGTACTCTCTAACCTTAAAGCAAGGAAAAAAGATGCATATTCAAGTCCAGGTTAGCAAATAAGACAAGCCTGTTTGACATCTCTATTATATTTCTGAGTACCCCATGCATAACTTCCACATACTTGACATATATATTCTTCACATACATAAGAAATGTGAAATTTAACCCTCATTTTTTGTTGGCAGTTCCACCAATTCCCCTCAGGAATGCCTGGGGATAACTGAAGGCAGAATTTTACTCGCAGTCTTCCATTGTTTTAATTCTTTGCCAATATTGTCTCTGTGAGCTAATTTTATCCTCAGCATGACAAGAACTTACATTGGCAAAAATTTTATTGGGAAATCTGCAGTGTGCTATCTCACAAAAGCAACCCAAGGAGGCTGAAAAATGCAATAAAGGATTCCCAAATTTTTCAACTTCATTTCCTATTAACTCTGAATCCAAATAGGATTCTACCCTGTGTGCATTTGAATTGTGTCAAAAGTTGGCAGAATTGGTTTGAGGTTTGTCTTTGGGAAGGGGGAAAATGTTTAAACACAGTGTTAAAAATCAAATTTGGTTTAAATGGAAGTGTAAAATATATTCCAGGCTTTAGCTAAAGTACTTTACATAGCAGCCTTTTCAGCCTTTGAACCACTAAACAGTTGTCCAAACTAAATGTCTTTTCACACATGTATCTGCTGAAGTAAAGGTCACAGCACAAGCATTGTGATGCAGAATTTTAAGAATGTTATATGGATTTGGGACATTCCTTGGAAAATGTATGTTCTTTGAAATTTAACACTTTGGGAAAGATACATAATTTCTTTCCCACATGCTTTATAGAAGTCATGTCTATTTTCCCTTAAATCAATATAATTATATCACAAAATGTAAGGAGTAGGAATAAATATGATTAGTTTGTTGCACCAGTAACTCCATAATTATATTCTCAAATAGTATCTGTAGTACAAGTCCCTCTCTCTACAGCACTATTACTTCTTCAACTGAAGGATTTTTAGCCCACATCCTCTCAACCATTCTTGCATTATCTTAACATGAAGTGAAAGTCAGTATTTTTCCCCATTATCTCTGGAATGACACCTAAAGCCTTATAATTGTGTGAAGACCGTGGACCCCCTGTTTTCCTGTTCTGGCAGCAGCTCCTGGGACAGGGACCCCAAAAAACACATTTATCAAACAATTCCTTTCAATTTTGATTAAATCCCTTGTGTATCAAAGTGGAAGTATGGGAGCTTATGACATGGAAACTCATGAAGGGCAGAAAGAATCCTTTAAGATGATAACTTATTCAGTGATGTGGCTTAAAAAGGAGACATGTAAGAGGGAAGACCCTCTTTTCAAAAGGATAATTTTCCATAGTGGCACAACTATGCTATAAATCTGAAACAACCCACTACCAGACCACTGCGTGCACATACACAATGTACACCAAAACCAGGCTGCTCAATCTCACACATTTAAATCAGAGTTTGAAACCGATCTTCTGTTCTAAATGTGTGCAGCCAGAGTTTGAGCTGCTCTGATATAACCTGGCAAGTTTCCATAACCTACAGCAGAAGCACCCTGACTCATAACACTGGATGTTCTATATCTCACAGGTCAAGCCAAGGTAACTTCTAGCTACACTATTTATTACAATTAAGAATCAAAAAATAACAGCATATAAAGACTTAAACCTAGATCCTATTATCTGGCTGGCAACAAAGACAGCTGGGATCCCTTGTCCTAGCTGTCACCATCATCTGCTCAGCAGTAGGAAATATTGGACAATATTCTTGGAAAAGCCAGATGCATTTGGACCTCATACTTTCAGTTATCATCAAAATCATTTTGAACTTGGAAGATATCCTCAGAAAAAATCTTCTGAAGAAAATCTTCAAAGGTCAGTATTTAAACTGTGTGTCTAGAGTCTGCACAACAATAAAAGAAAGAATATATGATTACAGCCTGAGAAATATAAAGCAAACCCATGTCTGAACAAAATTGCACTGCTGTGTGAAGTTATGTATATCATAGAAGTATTTGGAAATCTGTCTAGGTATTAATAACTTTTCTCACAGTAATATTGATAGTAACAATAATAACAGTAATAATCAACAACAACAATAATGATGATTATTATTATTATAATATAATAATAATAATAATAATAATAATAATAATAATAATAATAATAATAATAATAATAATAATAATAATAATAATAATAATAATGACGCAATACAGACCAAATCTACAACCCACTGAAATAAACAAACTGCTGGAATTAGTGATGGTTACTCATTAGTGAGAAACCTGTGAACATGGAGTTTTCTCCAGGGTCCTGGAAGCCTGGCCAAAATGCTGAGGGCTGGAACAAGGCATACATAGTTATTTCAGCCCTGACTGCAAAGTACTGCCAGGACAGAGACCTGAAGTTCTCCTCCCACATAAGAGGGTTTTCACTCAGTCAACCATCTAGGTCATTTAAGGACGTGTCGACACCATCCAGAGGAGTACAGCTGAGAGACATCTATACAGGTTGAGCCTGAACTAGCCCCAGCAGTCTGCAGTGCTCTGCACAGCCACTGGGCAAGTACTTTTTCAGCAGTTCTGTTCTAACAGGTCTATACTGGTTTTTCAGACAAATCCAGCACATATGTCAAGCGTTGCAATGCCCTGTGTGGACATCCCTGCCTGCTCAGATCTGGTTTAGGCATTTCTGTAGAAGTATCAGTTGAAAAGAAATGTGATGTTCTGTTGCTTGGCAGATAGATTTAAGCAGCTTGTAATCCCTGCTCTTCTACCACATCTACCTGCTAAGGACTGGCTCTTGTCTTTTGACAGTCTGGCACAGAAATTCTGTATATGCCACATATTTAGGGATACAAACCAATAACTAGTATTGATTGCTGTCGCATTTGTCATAAAAGCCTGAAATAGGGTATGATGAGTGCATAGTACCCATATTAGCCCTTTATAGGAAGAGAATGGAGCCATGTGAGGCACATGTAGGAAAAAAATTCATCCATTTCAGTTTTTTCTCCTTTCGAAGCATTGTAACTCTTGTGGAATGAAAAGGGCAGGAAAAATCTGCAATGCTCATTTACTGTGTCGTTTACCTGCAATTGGTATTTATCAAAACAGGTTTTGCAGCATGCAAACAGACACTTCTCCAGCACATATCTGGAGAGTACAGAAGGGGGAACAAATGTGCAAGATAAAGATGTAAAAGAAAAAAAGTGGGAGGACTCAGGGAAGATAAGAAGGAAGTGACAAAACCAGCAGCTCTATAAAGTCATTCGGCCCAGGACACTGGCTTCGGGCAGGCCTGACCTCTACAGATGCTTAAAGAGCGAGGTTGGCAAGCAGCCTGCAAGCTGACACCAAGAAGAATTCCACTGCAGGTTAACCTATTTTGAAAACAGCTGTTCCTGGCAGAGGGCAGGCATGCTTTTTTTTCTCCTGTTTTTGTTACGTGAGGATGTTATGGCCATTGTGAGCCAAATTCTGAAAGACACTTTCTCACCTTGGGATCACGTGCTGATCCATCCCTGTTATGGAGGTGTCCTCTCGCTTTCATATTGAGAGGAGCAGCCAATTCCCACGCTGCTTTGAAAGGTTAATTTTCTTCTGTAATCATAATTATGCTGGCAAAGGTTGATGTGACAGCGGAAAAATTAGTCTGGTATTTTCAGCCTACGTTTTGTACTCATTTGGCACATGAGAGCATCTCTTTATCTGCGAGCTTCCTTGCCTGCTGATTCTATAAAAGGACCCCCTTGCTTTTTGAATTAGCCTACAATCAGGCAAAAGGTTAACGATTCAATCAGGTTGTTTATCTGGGACTTCTAGCACATGGAAAGCATCCTTAAGAGGGTCCAATCCTGCAGCTCTTACCCAGGAAAAGCTCCCATGAGCTTCAAAGGTTGTTTTAGTAGAGCGACTAAAGCACGGATTCACAGAGTCAAAAAAGGAAGCACTCAGTAGAAATTCCCAGCTCTGTCGTGAGACTAGGTTATGTTTCACTAGGAATTTGCTCAGCATCATTTCTAATAATGATCAATAATGAGAGCTTGGCTTTCATCCATTTCATTATTTCCTTCTTTCTATGAGTATTATCATGACTAAAGTAATATACAGGATTGTATAAGGATTTTTTTCCACAACTGGAAAGGTGAAGAATTTTTAAGCATGGAGACTCATGCATCTCAAAATCTCAGATTATTTAAATTATTTAAATTTAGATATCAATAGGGCCGCTTTCTTCTTTCTACAGAAAAACAACATCATAACTGAGAAATCTTACACACATAGAGTTACACCAAAATGCAATCTGTTCATTTTAATTTCTGACCCAAAGTGTCTCTTTGCCTATATCACACCAAAGTATATGTCACACTTTATCTAACTAGATGCATTGTAACACTGCTTGGCTGATTGGTCTTGACAGGATGAAATTCAGTGAAGCCTGAGTTAAATCAAGAATTTTCACTGTCTGCAGCGAGAATTGAAAGCCGAGGTCAGTGTCTACACTGCAGTACACTGCTGGGCACCTAAGGATGACAACACAGTTATACTAGTTGACACCAGCTGGCAACCTAGACATGAAAGTCCATGGTGGGGATTCAGCTTGCCCTGAATTTGGAGGTGCATTTCAGATACAAATCCGGACACCTAATTTCAGGTATCTGTAGTAACCTGTGTCTTTATATGAGAAAGATGTCTGAACTCAATGGAGATCTGAAGTTGTCTGCACAGAGGGGTCAAGCAGCACTTGAGATGTTCTGCAGATCTGCATGGCACTAGCAGAGAAATCACAGATCCCAAAGGAAACATGTACCATTCTGAGGGAAGTACTGGTATAGAGACTGGTTACACCAGGGCAAGTGACTAGGAAAGGTGGTACACAAACACCATGAAGAGTCATGCCAACTTTCTGGCTGGGAATCATGCTCCTGATCCTGTCCCAGTGCAATTAGTTTAAATTTCTGGCACTGACTACAGTGGGAACAGTATGAGGACCTGAAATCTCAGTGATTTTCATGGATCATTAACTTTGAGCTACGCCTCCATGCTGCAAGGGATCGGGTAAATCCTGTGCTTGGAGGCAGTGGGACTTCTGTCAGCCTGCCCTTCATATCCCTGCTGACAACTGAATGTGTTTCATTGTTAGCTCATGTTCTTTCAAAACAAATGATTTGAACTGAAAGATCTTACCACAGGATCCTCCGCCTGTTGTTGTGATTGTTATGCACAACTTCTTATCTCTTCTTGATTATACCAGAGGAGGTTTATGAATATTTATGGTTAGAATTTATAATTTAATGCTGTGCCTTTTCTGCTGATTAATTCAAGGACACTTCATTTCTTAAGTTTCTTGGTTCCTGAAGAAAACACTTTCTGCTGGACACCTAATCTGAATCCTGAATATTTACCCACTATCAAAAGTCAAAGACGGATTTCTGTCTTCACAGACAACTTCACCCAGTGTACTGCAGCATGTGTAGGTTTGCTCGTGTTCCTCAAAAAATGGATCTGAATTCATGCAACCAGCAGCCAAAGTAGCGTAAGGTGTGTTTGTCTTCAACAGCAATGTATAATTCAACAATCTCACCACCACAGCTTCAGATGTTGACAGGGAAGATACTTGATTTTTTAAATTTTTTTTTTAATCTGTGAGAGCAGAAGAAGTGAAGGGGCAAATATTCACCTACTTCTTCACTCTGGGCTGTGGTGACCTTTCTCCTCTTTCCCTTCATTTCCCTCTTACAATCTGGCTGGCTTGATACAAATAGTAACACATGAAAGAGCAGGAGGCTTGGCTTCCTATAGCTCTGTGTAGCAATCACAAACCAATAAAACTGAGCCAAAAAAGGAAAAACATAATGATTCTTCCAAAAATACCATATGTCTCTAGCTGTAAAGGCCTAGAAAAGAGACCTAAGGATATTCAAATGTATGACATGCTGCAGTGTCAAATATTTGAGATTTAATCACCCTTCTCCTTGTTCTTACAGAGCCCTCTTTCCTGCTGTTTGAAAGACAAGTCACAGAAAAGCGCTGACTGCTGTATTTTACACAGGCAACCATTTTTCAGCAAAGATACAATTGCTATATTTATGAGAAAAGTACACCTTACTTGAGAAAGCTCTGTCTCAAATTTCTCTGAGAGCGTTGCGGCTATAATTTCCAATTGCTCAGCCTTCTGCACTGGAAAGGTGGTATCCGGCAAGTACACAGAGCACTGACAAGTTCCCTCGTCATCCACAGAGCCAGACACATTGGCAAAGAGCTGCAATAACAAATTGGTAAGGAAAAAAGTGTTAATATTCTTCTCTGGAATCAGTAGCTTATGTCTGACAATAATATGACCTGTGACAATCATGAGATCAACAACTTAATTGCTAGACTTCTTTCACCTTTTTCTTCCCAGGAATTCAAAATATCTAGAAATTTTTATGACTCGGCCCTAAAAATCTTTCTGAAAATAGTTAAATATTGCTGTAAAGATTTTACCATTGGAAAAACAGAGTCATATAATAGTCCTTACTTTCTCGAACTTGTGGAGAGTGTTCATAAGATAATGAAATAACTTTGCCCGTAGATAGAAAAGCACACAACACCAGGAAAATAATAACTTAGTAGTCTTATAGTTACTGTTCTGTTAATCTGAATTGATCAGATCATCTAGTAATTTCCATCCATAGAGATGAAAGCACCGAAATAGAACTAGTAACAGGGAAAGTTTTGAGAAGGAATATGCTTCATTTGAAGTTTCTCAGTCAGTCCCAGCAAACAGACATATGCATTTAATTATACAACACTGAAAGGTGACAAATTAAATATGCAGGCACAGCCTAAGGTAGAGATACTTTCTTTGCCACAAAATATTGCACATAACACCCACACATCACAGCACGCTCATTCACATTTGTGAACAGTTTGCAAAGCTATTGCCCATGCCATTAGCATGAATCGGCGTGTCCTGGCTGTCTGCACGCTCAAACCGTCACCACTGGAGCAATGTGTATGGTGTATGGAAAGGTCAGGGCTGGCAATTCATGATCTTGCCATAATTTACAGCCAAAGCACATCGTTTCCTATAAATACTGGGCTGAATGCGAAATGTGTTTGGAGCAGTTCTTTTTTGTTTGTTCACAAAACATTTCCCAGTTCACAAACCTATCACGAATTTATTAATAAAGATATTTGATGTTACTTTAAAATATTCTGGCACACACTTCAATGCAGCTGCATATTTTAAAGCTACAAGCTTGCTCTTTAAATAGACTTCTTTCTATAATCTCTCCTTCTGCCTTGCAGAAATCCCAGTGTTATTCATGTGTTTTCTCTTTCTCCCTCCCTCTTAAAAATAAACAAGCAAACAACAAAACTATCTACTCTAAGCTGACATTTCAGCACTTCTTCCCTCATGTTTTCACAGTGATTTCAACTAATTTCCTCACTGCCAAACCAGCCCAGAACACGCAGTGGTGGCTAGTAGCAAAGCTGTTGTGATCTTTGAGCCCAAGAAGAGAACAGCAAAGAGAAGGAATGATCCCAATTCACACTTCTGGCAACCTCTTTACCACAGCCATAACAAAGAGCATGCATCTAATTTTGGAAAAAAAAAAAAAAAAAAAAAAAAAAAAAAGCATGTAAAAACATTTTATCTGTGTTATTCAAGCACCATGGGCCTTAAAACTTTACTCATACCCAGACTGCTGAAGACACTGAACATGAAAGGGAGCAGAGTAGTATCTCATGACATTCCAGAATGTCCCAGCACACAACTTCCATTGATTTCCCTACCAGGTAGGTTACTGAAGCACTTCTGAATATCCCACTGAGAACATAGTGCAAACTACTTCTAAGTTTCCAAGCACTTTTGAAGATATGGTTATCAGCACCTAAACTACTATGAAAAATATGTTCCTAAGTCACTTAGATGCTTCTGCAGCTCTGAGTCCTGCATGTGGGCATGACTGGAGTGGAAATTTGCTCAGCAATAACAAAAGAAACAGATGGGGAAAAAAAAAAAAAAAGAAAAAAAAAGAAATGTGTTTTAGTGGGTACACGGGACTTTCTATAAGACAGTTGCGTACTGGCATGCTAATTTTTGTGTAGAAGGTATTGTATTCTATCCCTTCTGTGTATAACACAAATATAGTATATATGTCTGTATGTATACCAAGAGAGAATATAATATACATAGCATACATAGTATATACTACAAATATATATATTTCCATATAAAGTATAGTGCAAACTACACATTGTATACTCTGCTGTAAACTACAGTCCTGACCATATATAGCCATCATTTTATCTAGAGTTACCATGCTTACTCCATGTGCTAAATAAACTATTCATAAGTGTATTCAGATGATCTCCTAAAAAACCCCAACTTGTGCATTTAAACTCCGTATGAAAAACAATCATTATATTTTAACATTTGTGTTAGGAGAGGGTCTCAAGTTGAAGGCAGAGCTTCACGGCAGTAAGTGCAGTAACTGCAGCCAAGAGACAGTTTTCCCAAAGGGTCAGACAGCCTGGGCCAACAGGACTGCTTCCATTCTTCCATTGACATTATAAACATTGGGATCATGAAGTTGATGAGACCAAGAAGCATTGTTCAGATAAAAGCCCCTTGGGTCAGTAAGTGCTTCAATGAAAATATAATACCAGTCAAATGACAATCATATAACAAATATGTCTTCCCTCATCCTGTATAAAAATGCACAACATAGGCTGTTACTTTTGATGAAGTTGTATGGTTTTTTAAGTTTAATAATTTACACTGAATACTTAAAAGAGAGCAAACTGTCCTAGCCTACAGCAAGGACTTGACAGCATCATTTCACTCTGTAAAATTAAGTTGTTACATATACATATTTGAAGCTATAAGAAGTGTTCCTTTCCACATCCCTTCAATTTAAGAAAGGGAGTAGGAGCCGGCAGTTACTCAATTTTCTGAAAACCAGGAAATTTATTCTGCTGCCTAAATGTGGATTTAGGGTTACACCCTCAAAACAGCCTAGCCATTTCAGTGCTTAATTTCCAGCTACACTGTAGACCAGTGGCATTCACAGCTCTGGATTAGCTACTTGCTCATCCTAAGATAAAAAAATGGGATCCATAGAAACCACACAGCAGGGACAGAGGCCACAGTAGGGACACAGGCCACCACAGCTGGGCCAGGAAGTGGATGAGGTTTGGGTCCTGCTACTGAGACTCAGAGGGAGACTACTGAGTCCATTTAACTTTCTAAACCCTCTACTGGACCCAGAGACTTAACACCCTCCCAGAAAAGGTCTCTCCACACATCTCAAGTGCCACGCTGGTCTAGCCTGGACAGCGAAGACTTGCCATCAAGTTGTCTACCATCTCTGACCTGATCTGGAGCTGTGCATCAGGCAAACTCTGTTCTTGATACTGGGTTGCAGGACCATTTGGAGTGAGTGTGTCCCATTGAATCTGCTCCAAAGCAAACACGTTATTAAGCAGTCACTGGCAGAGAGAGGGAAGGAAACCAAACCCTGAAATCCGGAGACCATGCATTTGAGCGCTGTACCAGAAGGCACAGAAATCAGATTCAAGTCCCTCTGTCAGCAAATAGTTGAATAAAATTTGAGCTAAGTAGAACAGGGAGAATCAAGATTTTCTCACCCCCAGCAACCACAAGTGGGCACTTCGCAGAAGATAGTTTCAAGGCCCTGTTCTGGTTTACATGAGAAAACAGAGTTGAAAAGAAGTCTTCCCCTTCCTCCAGGCAGGCTATAACCACCAAACTGTTTGGTACATTGCCACCAAATCCCCACAGCCCCAGCTGTTTCATATCTGGGGTCCAGTTCAGTAGTCTCAAGGGTAATGCCAGACCTTTGGATGTGACTTAAGGCATTGAATGGCATGGCAGCAGCACTGATGATCTTGGGAATGTGCTACTACCTAAAATCCTGGATACACAACACCTAAACACTTTTCCTGGTCAGCCTAACTGGTGTACCTGTATGAGGGTTAAGTCTCTGAGTGACTGTGTAGCATTTAAAAAATAGGATACAAGTTCCTGATTTTGCTCTTTTCTGAACTTTATTGAAGAACAGTAATGGTTATACCTTTGAGTGAGTGTGCAGGTCGCCAGTTGTCTTGCTAGGCTGAGTCAGATACGGAAGTGTCATATTGAGATGAGTGGTCTAAAAAGCAAAAGAAAGCCATTTTCAGTGTGAATTCCTACATATGACACTGTCCCTTTCCCACCAGCCAGCCCCCATCCTGCAGCTCCAAAGCACTTTGATTTTGTTACGGGAGCCACCCTCAGCAACTATAAAATTAATTCACTTTTCTGATCTACTGCAGAGGTGACTAACATTTCCCCGGGCACGGTGTCACCTCATAGACACCTCTTCTTGGGGAAAGGCTCTATGTGACCAGTGCAAGGCAGGGGACGTCCAGCCTGCCCGGGAGGTGTGAGCCAGGGCTCTGACAGGCAGCCCTGGCAGATTGCAGGGCAGTCTAAAATGACAATACCATGCCCCCCCCCCCCCGGCAACCAAATCCAGAGACTACTGTCCTCCCAGCAGGGATGCCCACTCCTCGCCACCCAGCTCGTGCTCCAGCCTCTCAGCGCAGGACTCGCTGCCCCTTTCACGCCAAGCTGTCAGGCTGCGAGCTGTGATGGCTGGGACACGCGTCAAGCTCTGATATTATCACCACAGAGGGGACAGCATCCCACTGCAGGGAGGGAGCGCTGGGGGAAGCCGCCACACAGCCAAGGATGCAGCCAGGTCCACCCGGGGAGTCTTTTATGTAGTAAGAATATATACGTCCCCTTTAACTTTCACCTGTGGCTGGCTGCTGCCTTCCTGCCACAGCAAGGAGAGAGGATGCCACCCTGGCACCGTACTGTGCGTCCCTAAAGGTCTAGCGCATCCCCACGCAGCACACGGCGCGTCGCCGTGACGCAGCACACTGCCACCCGTAGTGAGGTGTCACCAAAATCTCTGGCAAACTGGGAAACCCAGCAAAACATCCTCAGTGTCAAATGGTTTGACAGACGGAGCATCAGACGGGATCCCCCCGCGACAGGACACTCACCACTGGGTCTTTCTGCGTTTCCCAAATCCCAGCTGGAGCCCCATTCCTGAGCCAGAAAATGGTGGGGAAACCCAAATGGCCAGCAAAGGGCAGGTCTATTAAAGGGCACAGCATAAACAAGCTTTTGTGGGACAGTTTTTCAAATAAACCCATTTGAATGAGCATTTGTGTGCTTTTATGACTACATGGAACATGGGGGGAGCAGCTAGTAGTCATTAACAGTGGTAGGACAGAGAGCATCACAAATTGTGTAAATTACACAAACTGGGGACTAGATTAAGTCTAAGCAGACTGAGCAGGAATGTCTCCCAGTGACTAAACCAGATAAATCAGAAAGAGTCACTGGGAGCCGGAATGGGGTTTTTTTCCAAATTTTAACTAAATTTTAACTAAAAAATACCAAAAGGCATTTTTTTGGTTTGACCATTTTGGGACAAGCTGAAATGCTTCGCTTCATTTGGAAGAGCTTTTAAACTATTTGCAAACTTTTTCTTCTGACAATTTAAGCCCAGTTTTAAATTTAAAAAGAAAAAAAAAAAAAAAAAGCAGTACAAAATCAAAATAAATATTTTTCACTAAAGTAACTTCTTACTTTTGAAATTTTTTTCCAAAGTTTTATTTTCTCCTTTCCTCCCTGGATTTGTTGTTGCTTTGTGTTGGGTTTCTTTTCTGATTCATGGCTTTGATTTGAACTTCTCTCTCACCCAACCAGATGCAGTTTTATGAGGAAGAGGGAGAGCACTCCACAAAAACCACCCAGAATGGCTTTCATGTTCTTTGGTCACAGAGTATAACAGGAATCATGCAACTGGGAATGCCCCCCACCTCCCACAACTCCTTCCACATCAAAGATGCGGATCCTTTCCTGCTATAAGCCCTTGCTAATTAATTAGAAGCTACACAGAGCATTTAATATCCACTCAGATCCTCACTGGGAGTTGCACTCATCTAACCAAAGGCAGAATTTGACTCTGATTTTAAACCTGTGCCTCACTTTTACATTTATTACCCAGTCCCTAAACATTAGTTGAGAGGAGGATGGAGGAATACTTTAAACTTTCTTCATGCAGAGATCTCAACATTTGCCTAATAATTTTTCCAGTAATTTTAAAAGAATTTTCAGCAATCTAAATTACATGAGAAGCAAGAAGGCACCAAAGCTCAGGCTATGAGACCCCCATCTTACCACTTCTGTTGTTGCCATTGTTCCAGCCAGAGCAGTCATGCTTTGCATGAGGAACAGCACAGCCACCTGTGTGTGCTTCATCTTCTCAGCCAGCAGATGTGACAGCAAAGGGACAAAGGAGGTCTTTTATAGTAGAGTCTGGGGATTTCCCCAACCAAATCTTAAGGAACTTGCAGGATATTTTTTGAAGTTTTCAGATAAGTGATGTCATGAAGTCATATAACAATAGGTGACAAATTACTAACGTGCAAAGAACATATGAGTTACTTACCATCAGAAATTAACTACATCCAATTTCCTAACAGGAAAGCTTTCCCATATGGTGCAGTATCTAATCTTAATCTCGGTTATGCAGAACAACGGGTGCTTATTTGCTAGAACAGGTAGATAGACATTACTCTGACTCAATCATAAAAATTCTTATAGATTCCTTCTAAGTTATGCAGACAATACAGGTCTGGGTGGTATTTATTACTTCTTATAGGTACAGAGAAGAGCAGGTCAAGTTAGACTGTTCACACACCAGAAACATCCTCCCATTTTTTCAAAGGCCAACAGACCTTTGACAATAAGTAAAATGCGAAGGGGTCTCTAAAGCTTTTCAGTTCCCTCAATTCTCACATAGCACAGGTGGGACACAAACAAACTGTCTCCTCCCATTTTCTCCCCAGTAGGTTTAGGTCGTGCACATTAACACTATGTACCCATTAATACTCACTTGTGAGTTAACACTGTGTACCCATCAATGCTTACTCACTCTCTTTTCATGGAGCTGCATGCCACATGACCACAATGATTCACTGTCCTGTCTCTAGAGCACTGATGCAGAGAGATCAAAAAGGCCACAGGCAATGTCTCCTGTGGCCCCCACACTCCCCAGGTGTACCCCACTACCCTAAGACAGGCAGTGAGCTGCCTGCAGTTCCCAAGGCATCCAGCCCACCATGGGAACTCCCCACTTCCAACAAGCTACCACCTTGCTGGATTCAGTTGAAAGCCTCCACCTGGCACAGGAGAAATTAAAATGTCTCTTCAGAGTTCTGTGGATCACTGGGAAAATGAGCTTGGTGTTTGCAAGGAAGGTTCCAGACAGGACTAACGGGATCGCCATGTCTGTGCACTTGTAAAAGTCCCTAGACCAAAACATGTCATTTCTTGTCCCTTCCTGTGTCTGTGTCGTCAGTGCAGCATTTGGCCTTTCCTTCTTCATTTTGTCAGACTTCATTCCTCTAGTGGGTTAGCAACAAAAAAAGCTGCAGTTGTGTTTAAGTGGAGGAAGTGGTTAGGAGACTCTTATTCCCATCCAGCGTTGGAGGACAGACGTAAGGGCAGGAGCAGCGGTACTTCTGAGCAGCAGCACTGGCTCATATGAAACCCATCTCCCGAGTGAGGAATTCTGAAGGCTTTCTTGTTTTACCATAGCACTATCAGCTTCAGGTGGCAGATGGGAAAGCTGAGGCTTAGGGCAAATCCATACTAGAGCAGTCAAGTCCATTGGGGTAACATGTTTTCACCACAGCTTTGCATCAGCATAAGCCTCCTGACAGATTCACAAAGCTGGAAGCAGCATCTTTTTTGAGGAATAGCTTATTTTGTAGGGAATGGATAGGATATGCTCTTGCAAAAACACTTTTTTACAGAGGAAGCTGCATCTTCACTGGAGGATTTCATGGCTAATAATTCAATGAAAGATAGACAAGACCTGGAAGGCATGTGATACTGTCCACGGAAAAAGAACCAGAGCCATAGTGGAGCAAGAAAAACAACCCAAGCCTCTTTCTCCCAGGTTATAGTGGTCTGTTTTCCCGGGGTAAATCACAGCACTTTCAGAGGAAATAGAGAGACTGAAGCTATAATTACAGTGTCTTTGTAAGGGCTCAAGTCCTGAGCTCCAGTCCGAGAGGAGCAGACTGGCCCACATCAGAGCAGCTGTAGGCTATGAGCTACATTCTGCACCATAAGAAAAACACTTTGGTCACTCCAGAGCAGAGTTCAGACACAAACCAGCACAAACGTACTGCAGATAACCTGTAAGCCTACTTTGCCCACTGAGTTAACTACCTGTTAACTATCAGGTTGTCATATCCTGATATTGCAAAATTGCCACTTCTTTCCCAACATGTTTTGGGGAGTGAAGTAACTGATCTTCTCTATACAAAACTAATGGAAGTCCTGGAAACATATTACTCCCAAAAGGTGGCATTGATGAGGATTTGTTCCTTATCAACTCTGCCTGGTCCTAACCAGCCCTCCAGCAATATCCCGCTAGGTCTCGTACTGACAAATTCATGCCATAAGCCCTCCTGACACATCCCCTGTTATGGAAATACCACTCTGGTGGGCTGCAACTCATACCTTTCGTTATTTCTGATGCTCCAAACAAAAAGAAAAAAAGAAAGAAAAAAGAAAGAAACACAGAAAAGCAATGATCACATCTTAGAGCCAAAGGGCCCAGAAGATACTCAGGACAAGTGCTTCATCATGTGGATACAAGGGGAAACCATCAGGCTGCTGTAAAGGAACCAGCTCTGAGCAGGGTGCAAACAGGCCACTTTTCCTGAAGACCAGGCATCATTCCTGGGGTGGATGCATTAGCCTCGAGGAAAAGCCTAACAGTGAGAAATAGGGAAGAGAACCTGACAGTACAGATGCGTCGTATGTATGCAGACCCCAGGTGAGCATGCCCCATCCATGCAGCAGCACCTTGGCAGCCTGAAAACTTCGTGAATGCAGATGGCGATGGCATGTACAAGCCCACTGGCCTTGCTAGGGTGCCTGAAATCCAGCTGGCTACACAGAGGGCTACCTTGCATCTCACATGGCCACGCTCGCAGGCCCCAGTGCATATCAAGCAAGTGCAGTTTTGAAGGCAGCTTTGTGCAGTCAGCAAGGACAGCCTGTGAGTTTGGCACCTGGATCTCTAATCGGGAGAAAAACCTGTTTTCCGAGCATAATGGTGAGTCTCTGTTTCTTCCAGAGGCTGGTACTGCAAATAACTCACAAAGCATGATAGTTTCTCACCAGTTTTTCTTTTATGCTTAAAAGCCAGTTCCAAGATAGGAAGCAAATATTAGCTAAGTAATGATAGCTAATCAGTTGCTTTGGCAATTTCTCTTGTATTTCTGTTTGCACATGACCTCACAGAGACAATGGGGACCTATATTTTTATTCCTAGTCAAAGCATAATTATTACTAAATAAAAATATTTTCTTTGGATCTATGTACAGCCCTTCATCTGAAAAATAAGTCGGATTCATTGTCTACATTTTAGAGGAGAGAAACGTATATGTCATACAGGAAGGTTGCACTTATTTAGGAATTTCCACTTAGGAAAACACCAAAATACAAGGATTTTTTTCTTTGTAGAGCTGCACCCACCGGTACTTCCTTGTTGTGCAACAGACCTAGTGGGCAATCCAGGGCAAAGTTCCTGGGGCACAGACCTCTTTGATTTTAATGGGAGTTATATATAAAAATGTGTTTGCAAAAAAACCTCTGTCTCTCAGAGGCGTGTTCAGCAAAGTCCTTCTCAAACCGACCCTAACTTAAGCCTTGTGTTTATTACAGCAGAGATTATTGTGATTATTATTCAACAGAGAGACAGGTGATTCAGATCTGCTCTCTAAAGCTACTGGCTCAGTCCAAAGTCATTGGAGTCAAATATTACTTAATCATATTTGTTGGTATGAACACAACCCTCGACATCTCAAATGTAGTTTCCCATCTACATTTGGAAAATATAGATTTTCCCTGCCTCAGCCTCATGTTTCGAGATTAGATGCACTAAGAAGAATGAGGTACTCAACTATTACAGCAACAGGGACCACATTAAACATGCAAAAATGAAGGCAAAAGAAAGGCATAGTAGGCCAATGTAGCACAGTAGGCCAATGACAGGATGAAGAATTGAATGTAGGTAATGTATCTTGGTTCTATCAAATAATCATCAACTAATATATATATTCTAGCTGATCTGATAATTTCAAATTGTCTCTGAACTGTTCAGGACATTCACAGGGCAGGCATATGACTTACACTTTCTTAAAACAAAACCAAAAAAATTAGAAGATTCAAAATGGGATGTAGTATCTAATCATGCTAACTTGACAGAATGGTTCAGACAGAAAGTACTGCACTGCAAGTTACATTTTGCAAGTCTAATGTAAAAACGTTTCTACTCTTTGCCTGCAGACGTGATAAGACTCCAAGCCTCATGGAATCAGCATTCCAGTGCATGTCGTCCAGTACCCTGTATGCTGTGGATTTAGTAAAGCTTGCCTAAAGCTTGTTAAATCCCCCCTCCCACCAAACTATGTATTTCTGAGTTAAAGCCAAAAAGATGGAGAAAATATTAATTCAAATTCGTCTTGTGATACAAGAACATAACAGCTAATACTCCTTTTTTTTCCAAAGGTGGCTGCAAAATCGTTCTTTCTGAAGCTAACCAGTCTGGGTTTATTTGGTTATATGATCATCCTGTAATGAAACAAGGTAGTTAGGGTGGGCAGCTCTCTCTGGCAAGATGCTGTGTAACAACTGACAGAATGAAATCCTACTGTTTCACAATATCAACATCTGACATAGGCTTGTTCTACTCTGCTAATCTCTTTACAAATTACTTGCACTTTTTCCCCCTCCAAGTGATTTACATTCTTATGCAATACGTTTTGGTCTCATCTATCATAAATCCCATCTTTTTGGAAGACATTATGCAAATACTTTCATTTAATCCTTTTATCAGTAGAATGTCACGTTAGTGTTTTAAAAACCATCCCTCAGGGCCATGTCCAAAACAAGAAAGGGTATGAGAAATATTAACACCTAGTTTAAAAAATTGTTTTAGTGAGGGTGAGCCATAGTTTTTTGAGACTGTAGGAAAGGAGCATCTTCCTGCGGTAGAATGAGAAACTGAGTATGATTTGCAGAGGGCAAAATTTCTTTCATACCGTTAAAAATACCACTGGCACAAACTGAGCTGATTGAGCTGCCAAAACTGAAAGAAAAAAAAATTATCCGTAATGTCAAAAAAGAAAGACTTTCACTAGGAAAGACATAAGAGGAAGAAGACAGCAGGTGAGGTA